ACACACCTTCTGTTGATCGCTCGGTAATACATCTTTTGTACCAGATATTAATTTCTGTATTTATTGTACCGTGCCAAATCTGGCAGGTTTTAACGACACATTATATATTTACGCGATGATATTTTTCGCAAAAGCCTACGTGTTAAAATGATAATTGCATCGGTCTCACTGCAACTCACTGCAACATGTTCTGAAATTTCTACCACTTGTAATATAAACACTTTGGTTTTTTTTATATATATATGGACAGCTGCTCTTCTAATTCCCAATTACCCGGCAATGAGACGTTTTACATATGTAGGGATTATTACGGGAGAAACGGCGGACAACAAACACAGGGGTGTCGGCACTCACATACACGGGTGGTCACACCGACGTCCGCATCCGTTATTGCCCACGCCCCCAGCCCTCGGAGGTGATCCCTATAAAAGGTGGAGACCCAAAGAGCTCCGAGCAGTTCGACACGAAGCTGACCAGTGAAGATCCAAGACTCGGAGATTAGGCCCTGGGACTCCCCGGTCTCGCCGTCCTTATAAGGGCCGAGCCGGGTAAGCCAGCGGCGCGGCCCAAAAGCTTCCAGACCGCTGCCCTTATCAGGGCAAGGCTGGTTAGCTGGTGCCGAGATCTGTGCTTGCCAGGGCCAGATCAGTCAGCCTCCCGTAGCCCAGCAGAGGAGGACTGGGGAACAGGACAGAGGGCTTAGTACTAGGGTGGGTTTCCCATAGTACGGGTGAAAGGGGCCGATACCCCTTCAACTATTGTGCCTGTCCCTGGGTTAATAAACAGTGTGTCCCAACTTCGACATCGTCTCCTCGAACTTACTACACAGATGAAAGATGCGTTAAGCTAATTCGATGTGAAGGCAGATGATGACGGTGATGATGATATTATATTTCAGTTATATTGCTAAATAACCTAATGCCATCGTTATAATGAGCTGCTTCGCCCCGCGTTGATCGTTCTGTCACATCATATTAAAAGGTTCATCTTCATAGAGGTGAATCAAACAAATACTTTGCTATATTCTCCCTGCAAGTTTTATGCTGCACGTGCACTGCCGATGTGGATGAAGGCCAAAGAGAATGGAAGAAGGGCAATTTTTAGAACTGTTGGGACAATAAAGTTCCTTTAAGGAATAGAAGCGTGGATTTCCTTTCCAAATGTTTGATTTTTGACGGCATATCATCAACTTATTCAATATAAATTTCGATTTGAAGCTTTCGTGACTGCAGGGATTCATATTCTTGGTTCTTTCGGTAAAGTCACGTAGAAGGGAAATAATACAAATAAAATGTAAGACAATTCTCACGACGTTTCGGCCACAACACAAGCAGCCGTCCTCGGGTGAAGAACAGAGCTGTCGGAAAGACATTAGGATGCTTCCGTCTTGAAGACAGAAGCTTGTGTTGCCTCCGAAACGTCGTGATTTAATTTATTTTATATTTTACCTACGTGACTTTACCAAAAAAAACAAAGAGTATATCTATTTTCGACAGCGTATTCAATCATTTTCGAGAGGTAAAAAAACAGCATACTGCACATGTTAAAATATCTTATTAATCATCTGTTTGATCGGTGGCAATATAAAATAATTTACACGTTTGACAATTGAGGACACATCAAATCCAGAGCTGTTGAAACATATGCTGCTGTAAAATGTCGTGCATTTTTCCTCTGCTTGTGATCTTCCACTGCTGAATTGACTATAAAATACACAGACATTTTATATGTGTGCATATATTTTCAATTCTGGTGGGATAGAGTGTGAGATGCATTCGTCTAGTTTGGCTATGGGCACTTAGCCAGGCTCAGTCAGAGGCAGAGTCCGGAGATTGCAGTTAACCAAGCAGGCCACTCTAATGCCAGCTAACAATTCAGGAAAACAGGCTTTAGAAGTAGGCCTGAATTATTACCACCAGTATTCAATAACGAAGTAATCGAAAGCAAACAACTGTAATATTTTCCTCACTAAAGGAACGTTATTTTCGACATTCATATGGCCGAATGCATGTGTCCTTTTAAGGATTCAACTTTGCACGCACACTTAGGCTTCTAACCAAGACAGGCGTCCTGATGTGTGGATGGTAGGTAGGTGGGTCTGTGGCTGTAGACAATATAACAATAGAGTTATTGTTGGAGTGGAGGGGAGTTCAGGCTGTGGGGAGCTCAGGCTACAGGAAAACTCGAGGCATCGATTATATTTTAAGTTTCACTTTTCTCCCAGGGCAATGTACTCCTTGTTTTGTCCAAATTGGAAGATGGAAACGGTATTCTAAAGCCACTCATCGAATTAAACCACTCGTGAATCTCAAGTGTATGAAAGTTATGATACTAATCTTCTAAATGATGCTTTCAATCGGACGAAAACTTATTTGTCAGTCGTTACGGGTCACTAAGTGTTGAGGTTTGGTCGTACATAACGATTACAAATGAAGTGGCGGCTACAGCATTAGAATTTAATTAAGATCCACTTTGGCTTTTTTTTTCCTCCGTCTCGAGATACCATTGTGGTTCAACAAAGCATGCAAAGCACTTTGTCCCGCATTAGCATTCTGTAAAAGTTATTTTTGGTTGAGTGATTGATTTAAAAAAAAAAGGTCAGAGTTTCCCCAGTGAAGCCAATTCAGTACCATTACCATATCCCACACGCCTTCATTTGAAAATTATCTCCCAATGCATGAATGTCAGCGGGTACACAGTAGTCCCTCGGTTAACAGTGACATCATCGGTTAACGTTTTTTTTGGAAACGTTTCGCCTCCCACATGACCCCCTATTAACGACACGTTTACGTTATGCGCACGGGCGACAATATCGGCCAATCCGTGTGCTCGAACACAGGGCAGAGCCATGTCCTCTGCCAATCAGCGACGCTCGTTTATGAGCGTTTCGACCTCAACTGGCGTTGCTTACATTATTACGTTTTCTGTTTTTGGCATTGGAAAACAGCTCTCTTGCAGACTCAGTGATTCGACGAACAGTTATTTCGGTTAACAGTTTTTGTGGAAGGGATTAAAAACGTTAACTGAGGGACTACCGTACCTCGAATGAATCTGTGGACATTATTTCAGATTCTTTGACGCGTTTCCGTACCTCGTGTTGCTTGGTGCGACGTCGGGACATTTCTCTCTGTGTGCTTGGAGATTTTTCAGCAACTTGGTTCCAAGCAACACGCTATAAAGCACAACCGCCAAAACCCAAACGGTATTGTTTAAAACTATTATTTAAATGTTGTTGATTCACACCTTAGTCCTTTACTGTGCATACCAGTCCATTTTAACTGAAGCAACTTAACTACAGAAACTTAACTTGGTTGCAAGCAACGCGCTCTATCTCCAGCACAACTCCCAAAACCCACATTCCAGTATTGTTTACAACTGTTCCTTAAAATTGTAAGTAGTATACGTAGCGTATTATCGTGTCCGTTATTTACTGTGCATACGAGTCCAATTGAACTCAAGGAACTTCTCGCACGATGCGCTTCCGGACAAGCGAGTGAAACGTATTTTTTTGCTAAACGAAATGTGTGGTCACGTGACACGCACGCTGACTCGACGTTGGAAATGTAAACAGTGGCTTTGATTTCCAGAGGGCTTTAGACGTCTTGGGGAGCGGAGGTCAGGGAGATGAAATGTCATGAATATTAAATGCCGAGGTCACCGGAAAGCATCGATCCCCGGGTTCAAATCCACGCAGGCATCTGTGATTAAACCAGACTGTTATAATGGGTTCATGGTCTCAGCCAGGTTCACCGGTGATTATAGTAAAAAAAACATTAAGTTTAGTTCTGCATTTAATGTGGCTAAATTCCCGCTCTGAAAATTGTTACATTTTTCAAACATTTTCTTTGTCATGCGTCAAACGTTAATCTGACTGGTGAAGCGAAGCAGATGGGAAAGTGCTGACCCTGCCTTGTTGGCCATAAGTCATTTGAAGAGATCTCTGGTGGTGGTACCTCTGTGATATCCGCTTCTGCGGACCGTTCTCGTCTCATCGCATGAATCGGGTACCTCAAGAAAAAAATTTGTGGGAAAAGGTAGTAAGATGTACTGTGTATATTTATCAATCTATTTTGTTTGAGGCTGTTGTTTTAAATACATATTTATATGTATATATTTAAAGCATTTAACCATTTTCTATGTTGGTCTGTAACAAGGGCGGGTGGGGTGACACAACAACTCTTGTAAAGATGATCCAATATCAACAGAACTTTAATGTAATGTTGTGTTGCAATTCAGGAAATTACCCGATTGAAAAGTGGCCAAATTTTTTGCAGGGTTGCCCAAAACTTGTTGCTGAAAACCAGCACTAAAATAACTCGTTGCAAATATGCTAAAACTTTATTTTAATGCTCTTTGGTTCTTTCTGTAAAGTCACGTAGGTAGAAAAATAAAACAAAATAAAAATAAAATATCACGACGTTTCGATCGCAACACAAGCGGTCGTCCTCGGGCGGAAAAAGAAATCCAGCAGTGGAACTGCTGAACCGGCTACCCAACCAGCTTGTGTGTTGCTAATTAAATGCTTCTTGTGAAGGTGTATGTGTGTATGTTGATCGTCTTTCTCACCGTACGTAGCCAACCGCGAGTTGCAAAGTGTTAAATGATCCGCGCGTGTGCACGGTGTTTCCTAACTTTTTAAATCCTTTATATTAAGTTCACTTGCTTGCTTGCTTGCGCGCTTACGACCGTGCAAATCTTTCGGTCGTTTTTTAACCCACTTCCCGTGATCCAATCGAGCTGACATTTTGCACACAGACTCGTTGTGCGTGACAATTAATTTTCGTGAAATTTTTTTTTCAAAATGTTACACTTTTTGGGAATTTTTTTAAATATTTAATTACCAATTGCTTAATGGTGGCAGGCAATCATCTGACCCATAGGTGGCAGCCATCTCAAGCCAGAGGACGAGAGGACTCTAGTCGCCACGCATATAAAGGATTTATAGGGAAAAACTTTGTTTTTACGGGTTAATTTTTTGTTAAATTGGTTTTTACCCACAGGTGGAAGACATGCTTGAGCAAGCCGCAGCTGAGCGATCAGGACACAGCAAGCAGCCTGACCGGCCTCTGATACGTCTGAGGGTAAGCCTGCAGCCACTACAAGTCTTCATCACTCGTTATCATCATCGTCGTCGTCAACATGTGAGGATGCCAGCTGTGGGAGAAAACCAAAGAACCCAGAGGGAACAACCTCTGTAGGACGTGGATCAGAGGTCGCAATCGGGTACCCGATACCCGTACCATACCCGATACCCGGCTACCTGTACCCGGCCGGGTATCGGGTACGGGTATGGGTACCCGTACCCTACCCGGCTGGTTACGGGTACCTGTTTGTGACCCTGGTGCGGCCGGGTACGGGTACGGGTAAGGAATCAAAACCCGTTTGCGACCTTTGACGTGGATAGATACATATAGACGACAAACAGAGAAGCACTCGAGTGACAGATGGAAGCCCGGTTCGTCTTACTGTGAGGCACATGTGGTGGCGTTGTGTCTAATAGCCGCCAGCCCATAGACTTCACCATCAACATCGGCTGTGTCACCTTCCTCAGCAGCATTAGACTCGTCAGGGACAGCAGCAGCAGCATCATAATCATAAAATGTTTGTTAAGTAAAGCAATGCGCCATACTTGGGTAAAGAGTCACAGTGAGTTCCTGCTCCAATGAGCGTTGAAGCTGGGCTCATCCGTTATTTCCAGCCTTGAACCAGTCGTGGAGATTCAACATTCCTCCGATTGCCTCGGCTGGCTGCGTACGGTGCGAAAGAAGTTCAACATACGTACATACATACATGTCTAATAGGACAAGTACTTTTTCTACTTCCCCACAATAGTGGTAGCTGTTTAACTGACCCACTCCCGGGGGGATGACGCGCTGAGTTTAACCCCCAACCAGGATTTTAACTCCCAACCTTCAGATCCGCTCGCTCTGCCTGCTGAGCCACACGTGCATAGTAGCCGTCTTTGTCATTCCGTTGTGAACCTATTTAGTGGCGCCTCACCCCCCCCCCCCCCCGTTTAGTTGGCTGCTTCTCACAACGCCACCACTGACAGTGTCATAACTTGCGCTTCAAAATCGGGAAGAATAGTTCGGGAAATTCTTCCAAGTAATTACCTCCTGAAGTGAGGCATTGATTTAATAATAATACTTAGTTCTAGATTTGAAGCTTTCGTGACTGCAAGGATTCATACTCTTAGGTTTTTTCGGTAAAGTCACGTAGGTAGAAAAATATAATGATAAAATAGTAATAAATGAAAATAGCTAAATTAAATCACTTTTATTTATTTTTATTTATTATTATTTTATCATTATATTTTTTTACCTACGTGACTTTACCGAAAAAAACTAAGAATGATACTTAGATTTGATGCTAATTGCCTCCCACTTTTATTATTATTATTATCGTTTGCACAATAGCATCCCATAAGGCTGTAAATTAATTATATTTAGATATCAGAACCAAATCCCATATAGAGCCACTACCAAGCAAATCAAAACCCGACGATGAGAAGTGTCACTCAAAAGAAATGAATAAACAAAATTAAGAATTGGCGTCATAACGAAAGGGCACAAACAAACAACAACAACAAAGTTATCGCAACAAAGAATTTGCACTTTGGGTGAAAACAAATCCATCGGCGATGACGATGGTGTCACCACCTGTCCCGCTTTCATGTGGTCACACATCAATATTCTCATCACACCTTTCCATCATGTGACATTGTCCTTCTGTTATGTTTCCATTTTAAGTCGTTAACAGTTGAAACTCCACGCGCATCGATTTTCTCTCCATTGCCTTTGATTAATGAAGGTGCATAGAATGCTAAGTGTCCCTGTAATGTGCTGCTCCTCACTAGGCCATATGTCGATCTACTTGTGTTTATCTTTGGCCTATTGATCCTTTCTGGGCAAGTTACCAAGTTAACTGCGGTGAGAGCCATTCGCCGAAGAGATAGGCAAACGTGTGTAATCTTTACTTAAAGAATATGAAATTGATGAAGTAGATTTTTCACTGTTTTACTTTCCGTCCAGCTATCAACGTCTTTCACGGTACCCTTTCTGTTTGCCTGCAAGGGAGATTTTAATTGAGCCGTTTATTTAAAAAACAAAGTTTACCGTGAGCGGATTGTCATTTCATGTCATCTTTTCGATTTAAAGCTTTCGTGACTGCAGGGATTCATCTTCTTGGTTCTTTCGGTAAAGTCACGTAGAAGGGAAATAATAAAAATTAAACATAATGAAATAATTCTCACGACGTTTTGGCCACAACGCAAGCAGCCGTCCTCAAGTGAAGAACAGGTCTGTCGGAAAGACAGCGTCAGACGCTGACCTGTTCTTCACCTGAGGGCGGCTGCTTGCGTTGTGGCCGAAACGTCGTGAGAATTATTTTATTATGTTTTATTTTTATTATTGTATTATTTCCCTTCTACGTGACTTTACCGAAAGAACCAAGAAGATCATGTCATCTTGTTTGTTTTTTTTAAATCTCTGATTCATTTTTAATGTCATACTTTTGTTACATTTTTTTCACGTGCGCACAACACTTGAGTCAAAGAGTCACGAGTGATTTCCTGTTCTCATGAATGTCGAGGAGGTGGTCATCTGCTTACAGTGCTGAGCCTGCGGGAGAAATGCCCCGTTCCCCAGGGAGTGAGTCCTGTATCCAACCAGAATTCCAACTCTCAACCTACCGATTGCGTGCCACTCGCTCTTCCTGGCCGATCATTTTGGCCTCACCTGGGATGTCAGGTTGTTACCCATACTTCACCACGCCGGTCAATGCGGGTTGGTGACAGGAAGAGGTCAGATATAATTCGCCGCTGACGTTAGCCATTGGGGGGACTTGAACTCAGGCAGTAATGATTGCTGTGTATAATAATCCCAATTCAGTTAATTTACGGTGTCAAAATTGAACCCAGACGCACGGCACGCAATGGCCTCCTCTCTTGCGAATGATGTTACGGGCCCTTTAGTCTTCTTGGTTCTTTCGGTAAAGTCACGTAGAAGGGAAATAATAAATAAAAATAAAACATAATAAAATACAATTCTCACGACGTTTTGGCCACAACGCAAGCAGCCGTCCTCAGGTGAAGAACAGGTCTGTCGGAAAGACAGCGTCATCCCTTCTACGTGACTTTACCGAAAGAACCAAGAAGATGAATCCCTGCAGTCACGAAAGCTTTATACGGTTTAATGCACCGGCAGTTATAATGAGGGCGGCCACTGGATTCGAACCGTCAACCTCTGTGTCAAAGGTCGAACGCGCTACCGCTAGGCCATGTCACTGCCTACAAGGTGCTGACGAAGGTATTGAGGTGATGTTTGTCCGTGCACCCTATTCTGTTGTTTGCAGATTGACTACAGCGGAGGCTTTGAGCCGTTCAACACTCTGCGCTTTAGCCAGAAGTTTGTGGAACATGTTGGGAACCCGAAGGACATCATTCACTTCTTCAGGCAGAGGGAGATGAAGGCCAGAACAGGTTTGCTCTCAATCACGTATTCATTATTATCATTCTGTCACCTTCACGGCAACAACATTTCGCTGTGGCGAGATGTTAACTCCCTCTCACATCCACGCGACCACGGGGAGAGAGTGAGAGGCACGCAAATATACAGCAGCAGGCGTCGGGGTCGGGATCGAACCGACGACCTCCTGCGTAGCGGTCGTGGTCGTCAAAATCTCCTAGCCACCGCGGCGTATTGTGAGAGACCCACGCTTTAAGATGTTCTGTGTTCATATTTTGTTTGTTACGGTTGCACCCGACTTAAGAGCTGCATGGCTCACAGGGCTATACCTAATAAATGAAACTTGAAATTCTCCTCGCATGCAGGAGTTCGTGGGTTCCATCCCAACGCTGACGCCTGTATATTCGGGGTTTTCATGTTCTCCCCGTGGTCGCGGGGATTTTTCTCCGGTTTGATGCCCCCACATTTCGAATCGACGTGCGTTTAGAGTATTTAGCTGCCGCTATAAATTTCCACGTGATAAGCCACTTCGTTCGGCTATCATTTGTGACCAGGTCACTTCTGAAAACGAGCTATATGGCTAAGTGGGCCTTACTTGGCAAAATAAAAAATAGTTTAGTTTAAGTTATGGAGCTTCGACATGCAAGCCCCCGACGGGCTTCATAGAAATTAATTTAAAAAAATACATTACATAGATAAGTTGGAATTAACGTTGGTCCGATTGAGTTCAAATGAACACATTCAGCCATATGGCCAAAACAGTTGATTTAGATTGCGATCATTTAGCTCACTCTATTTACGATATTAACTTAGTACGTATGTTGAACTTCTTTCGCACAGTACGTAGCCAACCGTGTTAATCGGAGATCCTCAAACATTTCACACAGTTCATCGCCATGTTCATCAAAGTATTGAATTTCTTGTTGAATTATATAAAGAGCCACTCAAAATTATTTTTTTCTTTCAAGTTTTATGTGCCTCCTGGTTTTATTCATTAAACTTAAACACCGTGAGTTCAGAGACAATCCCGTCAATGTTTAATGTTTGCTCAACGGAGTTCAAACGTAATGCATAACTTGTCAATACACACAGAGTTGTTGTGTAGAGAGCGCAGACGCACAGACGATCCTGAGCAGCCTGTGAATACGAACGGATTAGAATGAGATTCTCGGCTGTGGACATGAACATCAGAAGTAACAAATAGAGAGGGTTTAGTCTCTGTTCTATATTCGTATTGAGTGGCACCGTATTATTCAGTATATATTTTGCATCCTGAACTCTTAATCCACGTTTCTTGTTAGCCATACAAACCTGGGAATCCGTCATTCTTGCCGTGTTACACTGATCCCAATGAATCTCGGATTTCTCAAATCAAGGACGATGGGAAATGTCACTTGCGAAAGCAGTTTGAACGTGCAAATGGCTTGTACAACAACAACAATGGCCGCCATTCGCCACTAACTGACGGTGACATCTCCATGGCGCCTGTGCCAGGCCAGGTGCACTTTGAGGCCACGTGACGTGTCGAAGGCTCGCTAGCAGGAGGTTAAGGGACAGACCCAGGTGCCATGGGTTTACTGACTAAGATGACTGGCAGATGCACCAGCTGTGCCCCCTACTGTGCCAACTTACTGCTGTTTAGCCGCCCGGCGCTCCGCTCACTGTTGTGAGCGTCGCTCCTCTGATATCCGTCGTTGTTGGAGGGCGACTGCCTCCAACTGCCCAGTAGCATCCTTCACGAGCCTCCTCCACAGAGGCCGATCTTGACACGGCTGGTACCAGTCTGCGGTAATCAGCGCAGATTGTCCCAGACCCTAAACGTGGAGTGCTCCTCTAAAACAAGAGTGGACAGTCTCGCCTACTTCACATCTCTCCAGAGACGTAGATGGAGTGAAAGAGTAATTGCACCTCTCTGAAGAAGTGGTAGAATTAGCCATAGGCGTTTTAGGGTTGCTGCCACCTGTTAACACCGCAAAATAAATGGTGGCAAGTCTCCTGTTCCCAGTGCTGCCCGATAGACCCCACGACTCGCAAATCTAAATCGCAGTGATTTTCATCTCATTGTCCTGATGGTATTACTCCTCTGTGTCATCACCCCCGTGCTATCGGTACATTGGTCGCCTTTTGTAGTTCTCTGCTTTTACAGGATGGCATGCGGATTGCCACACAAATAGGACGGATTTTGTGTATGGAGATTGAGGAAATTAGCTAAACATTTAATTTCCACCACAACTTTCCACCGACACCATTCAGCCTCGTGGTTTTTAATTGCCGTAATGGGACCGACAAACCGCAGTCTTAACATCTCGTCAAAAAGAACATTTTATATTTCTGTATCACACGATCACGAGAGGTTGCTGTGAATTTGGCCTTCATCCAGCAGTGGATTGACCATGGATGATTATGATGCTTGCTATATTAGCGCTTTTAATGATAGTGCATCACTGATTGCTTGCTGCTGCCGGAAACAGCATCACCGAATAATTTGTATCAGAAATGTACGGGTAGTTATGGAAATGGTGATTGGGCTCGGGAAATTTGTTTCATCCTCTGCAACGCAATTATAATGGCAGTCAAATTCCTTGTATTGAGATGGTAATGGAGCCCAGGAATCCACCGCCAAGGGGTGGTTATGCCTTGTTTGTCCTCAACCAGAATACATCTTCCCACAATGCATTGTGCCAGCAACATTTTCCAATTCAACTTTTAATATTGATTCGTTTATTCAGTCATGATTTTCGTTATTAAAGGGGGTTGTCTCTGTTACTCAATAGCTACTGTTATGCAACTATTCATATGCCCATTCAAAAACTGGTCATGAGAAAGCATGAAAATATTTTAAATTCTCATTAGGCCCCGTGTCGTATTAAGTGCAGACTCCAATTATTATTAACTCTTTCTCTGGACTCTCTGTGTATGTGCTATGAACAAGGGCCAATGCCTGCTATGTTGCTGATTTTAAATATGTTTTAATGTAATTAAGGCCACAGTGTTGTTTACAAATGCGTTGAGTTTTTTGTTTCCATTATTTGTGCTTGTGCACCACTGCCAGCGTGGAAGCTACGGCAAATAAAATTTATCATTCTCCCATATCTTAAATTGAGCCGACCTAACGATGTTCACCCACAACACCGATAGGCTCATCTTACACGTGCTCGCTGGTGACACTCATTGCTTTTATGGCTTTATTTTGGTGATTTTCGAAAAGTTTTTTGGTTTGGCCATGTTTGTTTGTTGTAGTACAGAGTTAGACTGATGGCCTTAATCTAAGTTGTCTTGTGGTTGTTGTTGTTTGACTTGCATCCCACTGGGATTTTTGCACACAGTGTTGGTGTACGGTGCTTTTTCTGCAATATTTTGCTGTATTTTCTTGGATTTTCTGTTTGCACATAGTCACATAGTCACTTTAAGATGTTGTCTTGTTGATGTTTTTGTTTCCTGTTTGTTGCGGTTGCACCCGATTCAAAAGCCGAATGGCTCACAGGTCCAATGAGATCAGGGATGCAGGGGAACTATCGCCTATAGGCATGACAGTCAGAGCACGATCATCATCATCTGACAAGCGTAGGCGACGAAGGCCCTTTGGTGCCAACCAGAGTGTGTGTCCATCACGTGTCAGGACCGATCTTATTAACGAACCCACAAGTCCGGTGGATGGCCCGACGGATGGTGCCAAAGCACCATGCATTTAATCGAACGTACTTTTTATTATTATTGTTATTATTATTATTATTATTCAAAAACCCAGTATACAAAAGTAGATTTTTCGAAGAGGAGGGAGCAAAATAACAAGTGACTTGTGCCAAACTCAAAGCAATACACATCCGGGCTCCCTTGGCCTACCCCGCTAGGGGTAACGGACGGGAGCGGTACCAGACGTGCATTTCTAACGCCTGACTTTTCGAGTCGGCCTCGGCCACGTTCTTCAATGTCCCCCGATTGGACACGTCCCCAGTGTGTTCGAGAGGGTTGAATCTTAGTCACGAGTTCTATACCATAGGAGTTCTATACCATAGGAGTTCTATGGTGTGTCAAACTTGCATCCATTACACTGGTCAACACACTTTTTCTGGCATAAGGTATTCCAACGGTCTTAAGGTAATTTTGGGGTGCTGATTCCAAATCTGGCATCAGTTTTTGTCTATCACATCAGGTTTTTGAGATATAAAATATTGCATTTTCAATAAAAACTGCAGAAGAAAAATATTAAATAAATGTGGATATCTACATAAAATGATATTATAAACACACTATGCTAAAAATACAGCACCATATTTTAACACTAAAGCAGTCACTGACTCGCAACAACTTGCAATCATAAGTGACAGAGTTAATTTCTGGTAAAATCAATGAAAATGGGGTATGCCGATAGCATAAAAATGAGATGTGATAGAGCAAATCTGAGATCAGATTTGGAATCAGCACCCTGAAATTAGTCTAAAACAGCTGCAAAAGTCCAGGCCAGAAAAAAATGTTTTTTTTTTTGTTGACCAGTGTTATCTCTCTCACCTCTCTGTGGATGTCTACTATGAATAAGTGCCATTGCCCAAAACGTCACCTGTTACATATGTATCCTTCTCAGGCCACGGTGTTATTGACGAATGTATTGAATTTTCTTAAATATTTAGAGAGAGAGAGATAGAAATTGGCAAAGCAGTGGTGCGGAAGTCATCCCATACGTTTGCGGTGCATTCTTGTGTCAATACCCTGGCCTTAGCAAAGATGCTTCCTTTGGGAGGGCCTGTGTGGGGGAGGCCTGCCCTCTTCATCTGTGTCACCATCTGTGGTACTTTTGCTAATTAATATTATAAGGAAGGTTCCTGCAAACGGCGGAACTGGCCTGAAAAATACGGGTTTTTTTCAATGCACGAAGGTACAAAAAACTAATTTTCTTCTGTCCAAATGATGTGCGATGGCTCTTTCCTTAAGATGCAGCTCATTACCGGGCAATCAAATCACGCGTTACCCCCCCCCCCCCCCCCCATGCTGAGCAGAACATTAACGGCTGATGTGT